ATATTGAGGCCAGGTTAGTGATGTAGTTCAGGGCAGATTTGTGGATGGCTTTGTATAATGTTAAAGGAGAACTATGGGGTTAAGGCTTTTCCCCATAGTTCTCAGGGTAACGGGAGGACACAAACTAGCGTCCTCCCATCACCCTAGGCTCGGTATACCACGAGCTGCTGCTCGCGGTGTACTGAGACGTTGAAGCGGATCCCGACAATTGTACCAGGATCTGCCCAGCTGCGTGACTGACAGCTGGCTCTGCCTATCTAAAGGCAGAGCCAGCTGTACCCGCCCCGTCCGATCAGCCAGTCAGCGCTGGCAGATCGGGGAGGGGGGAATCCAGCCCCTTCCCTGTCACGGCAGAGAGCCGTGACAGGATCGAGAGGTGAGCAAACGCTGGTATGTGTTCGCTCACCTCCCGATCTACTGAGCCGACCTGTGACAGTCTCATTGTCACAGGTCGGCTAGAACTATGAGGTGAGTGAAAAGCACTCACCTCATAGTTCTCCTTTTTAATATTTTTACTTTAATCATTGGACAATCAGAAGCCAGTGAAATGTGTGGGTGAGTCTGGAGGCAGCATTTATTATAAACTGGAAGGAGGGTAGTGGGGAGGATAGCCTATGTAATTATTGGCCAAGGAGGAGAGAGTTGCAATAGTCGAGGTGAGAGATAAAAAGTGAATTATTGAACCCCTTTTTGGGAGTTTTTTTCTGTGAAGGAGGGGTATTTAAGTATAAAATAAATACAAATGGGGAGGAAGGTTGGCTCTATAAAATTAAACTGCACTCAAACATAATCAAAAGGTAAATGCAGCTATAGCTATGTGCCAGCACGTCATACCCTCAGCATTTTTTGCCCACTTTGCACCCTGTGATAGTCTACCAAAAGAACAGACATACCAGTTTTAGTTGGTTATGTTTTTTTAACTAAATTGTCAATTTATCAACTAATACCTTTCATGCCATGGGCTGATGGTAGTAGAGTGGGTGTAGATTTATTAAAGGACACGAGTGTGTGGCTCACTAAAATGACTCCTTTTTAAAATTCTAAGTTATTATCATTGATGTCTTTGGCCTTGTATGTGTTTAGCCCTTAAATTACTTCTTAATGCATTTGTCGCCATTAACCACTTCCGGGCCGGCCGTAGTAGCTCTCTAGATCTGAGCGGGCGTCTTTAGACGTCTGCTCAGACACGCCCCCTCGCGCGCGCTGCTGGGCAACAGCCGAAATTTAAAAACAGGCAGCGGTGCCTGTTACCATACAAGCGATCCGCCAGCTGTAGAGCCGGTGGATCGCGTGTATGGGGTGCCGATCGTTTCCCCAAAACAATTGTAGCCAAGATGTTATTTTAGTACCATTATTACCATGTAAATGGTGGTCAACTAAAGAAATAGAATATGTTTTGAACCTATGCTTGTGTATGTTTTGTGTACATTCATGGAACATATGACTGCTTGGATGGAAAAATTATCCCTTTTAAGGACCAAGGCCTTTTTTTTTATCATTTTGTGTTCTAATCCACATTTTACGCCTGAAAATTACTTAAAGCCCTCAAAACATTTATATATTTTCTGAAAGCCAAGACCCTGTAGAATAAAATGGTGCATTGCACATTTTTATGTTGCATGATGTTAGCGCAACTTATCAACCCCATAATTTTTTTGAAAATTGCACTTGTTAAATTTAGTGCCCCAAAACACTATATTAATCCCTTTTTTTTTTTTTTAAATATAAAGGGTGAGGTTACAATTAGGGATGCACCCATACCACTTTTTTACGACCGAGTACGAGTACCGATACTTTTGATCAAGTACTCGCCAATACCAATTACCGATACTTTTTCTTAAAGGGACAGGTCACATTTTTTTCTAAAGCAATACAAAACAATGCGTAAATGGATGCCCAGGTTAAAAAACTGCGTGCGTCTGTGAAACCTGTGACAAAATTCAGTGCCCCAGAAAGTCTATAGACGCTTTAAAAGCCCCTACAGGTCATCAATTTAGAGATGTGCGTAAATATTGGCCCTAGAATTATTGCTCTCTGGCATGCTCGGCGATACCCAACATGTGTAGTGCAATCGCTGTTTTTGTAAGTAGGCGCAACTGACGCACGGGCGGAGAACATTAAATTTTATTAGGGTTACTTTTATTTAATATTATTTTTTAAACTTTTTTTTATTTTTTAAATTGTAATTGCCATTACATAGGGGGGCTTACAAGCGGCCACTTTACTGGATCGTAGAAGCGATATGGCAACAGCTCAGTTGCCAGAATTGCTTCTACTGTAAAGCCGGCCTGATTACTGGATCGTAGAAACGATCTGGCGGCAGCAGAGCCAACAAAATCGCTTCTGCTTAAAAGCCGTCTCTACAAAACTGAATATACTCCTGGCAGCTTAACCCCTTCAGACATCATGAGGAGATTATCCCGTCATGGGCCGTGAAGGGGATAAATGCATCATAGATGGTTGAACCTTAACTAGCATCATTGTCTATTTAATTGTAGAACAGATGCACATAGATGGATAGATGGACAATGACTGTAGGTAAGGTATTGTATAACATAGTTCATTTAAAGGTTTTGTATTTGGAGGTTTTCCAGGCAAATTGAAATGGGGGAAAACAATAATTTACCAAGTCTTAACGTATAATGTATGATGACCACGCCCACATTTTGTTTGTTGAAGAGTTTAAATTACAAATTTTTTTATACAGGTTTCAATTTGCACTGCTGTGTAAGAAACTGATATTTACAGGCTATCACCATTTGTTTTTGCACTTGCATAAGTAATTGAAACATATTTGCTTGATAAATACTTAGAATTGTTAATCTTTCTTTAATACTCTTTTAATTGCTATAGCATATTTGCTGTCACCCACCATTAGCTCAGTTCAATGTGGCCGTTTACTTTAGTTGGAGTTGACAGATGGAAAAAACAATCCCATGCTTGTCTTGCTGGTGTGGTCATAGGTAAGATATGATTAAGAGATTCCTGTTTTGATACCATCACCAGAATAGATAACATATATTAATTTTATTGCAGTCGCTGTAGTATGCTTTGACAGCAGTTAAAAGGGAAATTGATTGAGAAAATGCGTCGGAACTGGTGTTTTCCATCCACTGTTTAGCTTAGATGGAGGAATCTGTTGCACTTTTTCCATCTGACCATAGAAAGTCTGCAAATCTATAGGTGTATGGCTAGCTGTAGAGAGTCTGAGTGTCTCAGAAGTAAAGATAGGCAGAGGTTCACTCTTCTGTGAAAAGCTGCGTCTAAAAATTTGTCGCACAATTTCAAAATATTGTTCCTCAATGTAAAATTGCAAATACTTTAAATATATAATAAAATTATATCATCAAAAGATTGTGAGAATCTGGAGAAATCTCTGCGCACAAGGGATAAGGCTGAAACACAATATTGGATGCCTTTTGATCTTCAAGCCCTCAGACGGCACTGATGGGCATGGGCTCTGGTATACTTCGAAAAATCACTGTCTGTAAACACAGTGCCATCCAAAAATGCAAATTAAAGCTTCATCATGCAAAGAAGAATCCATATCTAAACATGGTCCGCCATCTTCTCTGGGCCAAAGCTTATTTAAAATGGTCAGT